CGCATCACTCAAATCAAGAAATATTTTACCATTCAACTATTTACTTCATGTAGAATCAGTACTGAAAGTATTGTCGAAGGGTTCATTTGCACTTTAAGGTCACGGTTCGTCTCGCTTCGGTGCAAAGGCACGACTACCTTTCAGGAACTGTGAACGGCATTTATTCTATCATGATAAATTGGATTCAAATCTTATTCCAAAGGGAAATTTTATGGCCAAACTCAAAGAAAGAAATAAAATTCAAGGGAATGACCTGTGGATAGAAAAAAGAGATATCTATTAGTACCAAGGTTAAGAAATCTTAAGACCAAGATGGTTTACCTGTTTTGTTTCCATGTCAAGGATTCGTCGAGTTCTTCCCATCCATGCTGTAGCTCCTGCATTTCACCTTGTATCACAGTCTTTTGCTCCTCGTCCACTTGTGGTCCTTTCAGTACGGACTCAGCCGTTTGTAGTGCTTCGTTCACTTCTGACGTGTGGGATGACTTTTCGGCTTGGAATTTCTGGGGAACAATTCAACATTATTAAAAATAATTAACTTATAAAAAAAAATTTGGCGAAAGCTTTTTATTTGTTTGTTTCTGCYTTGTTTTATCAACCAAAATGGAGACCATGCATTATGTTTGTAGATAGCATGATATGATGTCACAGTTCGTAGACGGCATGTTGGAGGAATTAAACACCAGGATTGTACCTTACTGAACATACGGRCCCTGAAGATTTCCTCCCATATATAGGACACTTGCATTATGGCGTCATTTACCATCACTACCAGACTCCCTGCAAACGACCCATAGAGGCTTTGCACCATCACGTGATGGCAGCCATGACAGGAGGCATAACGATAGGGTCGTTCTCCCTTGGGAAACTGAATTCTCGTGTAAATTAGATTAGAACAGATTCAATTGTTCCTTCCTCCTGTAATGGTTGCCATCACTTTACAATGCCTTTCTTTAGCAGACATCAGGCAAGGTCCCAAAATGTCCGTTTAATAGAGGTACTACTGTATATGGTGGGCTTACCTCGATGTCCTTGCGTTGTTTCTTGACCGAGTCAAGATCAGGTGCAATAGAAAACTCCTCCCCATTCAGTCTGGACTGTGCCTGGCTGATCCACTTCCTTAACGGACCATACTTCTTCCTCCATGTTGTTGCCATGTCTTTGTGTTGTTGTTCGAGCTGGACAAGAGCATCTTGAATGCTTGAGAGTATCGAGAAAGAAAACATTGACATCCGTCAATACATATATTAATTTATTCCTCGTTTGTGCATTCATGCATCTTTCATTCAATCGAAAACTCCGTTCATGCCATTTAGTTTTATACAAATATTTGACTAAAAAAGGGAATAACATTACCACCGCGACAACAAAATATACTCATCCCGCATAGTTGCCATAGTTACCTCTCCTGTCTCCCAGTCAGTGATATGGACAGTCTGTTCCAGTCCCCATGCAGCTTCATCATCTTATCGTGTATGTCTTTTCTCTCGTCAGTTCCACACGAAGGATCGTCCAATAGCTGGTTGCCTTCATCGATGATCGTATTGACTTCGACTTGTTTCTGTACCAAGTCTTGTAACACGTCCTGTTCATACGGGATGTCAAGTAAGTCAACATCTGGGAGCAATTTATTCATCCGGGATATTACAAGTGTTGTCATCCGGGAATTTACATATAACATCATCCGGGATATTCAAAAACATCGATATACACCAACATTCGGGATATTTGATAAAGGTACTTTTATGAATACAATTTAATAAGAATACTAATTGTAAAAGACAACGTTTCGCTGTGTCATCTCGACAACATCATCAGGTCTAATGAAAACTGTAAACTGTACTATATTCGAGATATTACTAATGTTGTCATCCAGAAAATGAAATACATCCTCATCCGGGATATTTATTATGCAAACATAAGGGATATTGTATATACAAGAGTGGCTTGAACGAAAGACATTCATTTAAACGATGGGAGTCCCGCGGGAAATTACTTCCGGCACCATCACCTACCTCTGTCACACTCTGTTGTCTTTTCATGTGTCCAAATGAAGCCGATAGAGACACGGGACGAGTTTCTAACAGAGACAAGGTGTCGTCTATCCAGGCCTGCATGTCGTCACAGCGCTCGTGCCAGGTCACCAAGTCATCAAATTCTGAGGTGGCAATGAGTAGCTCATGGAGCCTGGTAATTAGAACAGACAGGAACTTTTATTACACACTACTAATGCATGATGGGTTACCATAGTATTAAAATGGCGCCAATCTATATCATCAGATAAAGTTATGGATGAAATTCATAGTATTTAGGACTGCCAATAGTTCATTCTGTTGTGATCACTGACCTCTATTTTCAGTTTGCAAGATAATTCATAACAACGGCTTTTATGCCAATTGATTATTTCAAAATGACATTCTGCGATTCTTTTTCTCCAAATACCTGTCCTCTTCGTCTTCTCCTTTGGTTTTGAAGGCGCCCCATCTTTTTGTCATCAACACCAGATCTTCTTTGATCTCCATTTTGTTTTCATCCGGTACATCATCTTTTGCCAGCAAGTCTTTGCCAAGATCGACGGTTTCTAAGAACTGTGGTTCTGATTCCGCAAAGCCAATGTTCAGCTCCTAAAACATTGTGTTACATTTGACTTAATAGACCTCTTTCCCTTGGAAATGCTTCCCAATTTCAGACCACGTGTCATTCTCTAGAGTACCATTCCTTTCTTTAATGGTTGCGCATGAGAAAATGCATGAATATGGATACAATTCAAACAAAGAATCTTATTCTCAAGAGAATGACACTTGGTCTGAATGGGAAAACATTACGCCCTTCAGAGGTCTATTGTCTATTGCCGAAACATCAAATAGCCTCTTATATCATTCAATTTTAAATCAAAGAGAAAAAAAATAACGCTATACCTTGATATCTTCCAGGCGTTCCTTGATCTCGTTTCTGTTTTTCAGTTCACTGGGTTGATCAAGTCTATCTTCAGCTACTTCCAGTCCTAAGTTAACCTTCCTAACTCTTTCCCGCCATTCTTCCATTAAGGGATGGTCGTTCTCACTTGATGGCTGCTGTTCGTACATGCTCTCAAGTCTAAAAATAGAACAGACGCCTGAGCATGCGCAGTATACATCTATTGTTGGCATGCATCCCTTCCCATGAGTATAAAAGGACAAAAGACGTTGCCGCCATGCTAGTTGATATGACAAAAGACAACAAGACCAGATATTTTGCAAAGTCAACCAAGATGGCAGTTATGACGTCTAATGCACCCTGAGAATTCGCCACTTTCCATACACTGGCTCACTGGTAAAATGTAAAGCATTAAATCGAGGCTAGAAGGTTTAAATTTGAACTACCATGCAGCCTCGATTGAATGCTATGTGTTTGACCAGTAATCCGTCGTATGGAAAAAAGAAAATTGCAGAATAGTTTCAAAAATGCTTTTAATAACAACAAAAAACAAAAGTACGAATATGAAAATTGGATTTTACAATTTAACGGCACGCATCCCAAAATGCATTGCACAGCTATAAACTTAATTCTATGACGTCATACTTCAAGTAATTCTAGAATCAGAAATTTTCGTATGGGTTATCGTCAATAAAAAAGCTAACTAAAAAAGTTACGACGTCTTCATGGCATTTTGTCACTAGTTTTTTTAATAATGAATTCTAGTTCGGAAGTTAGCCTCATAAGAATCGTCAAAAAAGGCGTGCCAGAGGTTAATATTGAATACAAAATATCAAAGAATACTTATATTAAAATGTCAAATCAAAGACAAAGCAACCGAGAAAGTTGATCGACCAAGCGGATACACTGTGAGAACTTCAACGACAATCACTTGTCGATGATATAAATAATCAAAGCAAGTGAAATAAACCAGTCCAAATTTTGTAAACTTAAAAGACAGAAGCACATTCCTTGATCAGCTTTATTTATAGACGGGTAAATCAGAATGCTTCTTACTCCGCAGGCACTGCTAACGAAACGATATAATGGCTATTCTGGAATGGTCTTTCCCTGAGAACGAATCTTGATTATTTCCATAAAACAAGTATCTCGACGCACAACTCAAAATTCGTATATTTTTCACGCTTAAACCATTAAATGAATGAAACTAAAGACCTACGCAGAAAAGGTTCAATAAGTACAAGTTTGAGGAACTCTGGCTTGTCTGTTGTGTATAAAATAGACCGACATTGATATCAATCAAACTTTTGAACATTAATTACGGCAAATAATTAATTGTGTTAAAGAAAATCTTCTTAAAATCAAAACCATACACATCTAAAATATTAGGATTAATCATATAACTCTTTGTAAGAGTTTTTTAAGAGTTTTTTTTATCTTAAAAGATGACTGTCAGATTGGACAGTATATGTTGTTAGTACTACATATAAATTGATATACACTTTTCAACAACTAATTAATGTTAGAATATAATAAAGTTACAACTAAACAACAAAAAGCTTCAACCCCAACTTACTAGCTGCATAAATTGTTTGTCTGATGTGAAGTCCAGAAAATAGGAAGTGTTTTTCTCAAGAATTGATATCGATCATCCTCGCATGGTGTTTAAGGCTTATTATGATGGATGTACATGCATGAAACGAGAATAATAATCAGGCTTAATGACCCAAAAGAGTCGAGCTATTATCTTTACACCTCGATGACTTACAATAGAAGTCTTAGAGTCTCAAAGGTTGGGCCAAGAGTATATAAAATTCTTTTATTTTAGAAGAGATTGAGAACGGAATTTTAACAAAACAGTTAGTGAATTGCGTCAGACCTTTGTTTAAAAAGAGTTGCTGACAAGAAGTATGTTGAAGAGAAAAACGTTATTATGGGATGTTTACGGTGAGTGAACAGGAACCATGGATGACAAGATACAAGCTGAACTAATTATAGCAAGTAATCTGCGACTCTTAGGGTGCGTGTAATGTCATAACAGCCATGTTGGTTGACGAAAACAAAGCATTCCTCACAAGCTTCTCTTGTTAGATTAACCAACATGGTGGTTGAGTCATTGTTATTTATATCTCAACGGATTTTGAATCATGTGGTTGATTGTCATTGAATTTTGTATTTATTTTTCTCATACAAGAATTAATTAAACGAATTATCGAATAAAGAAAGAGAAAAATATAGCTAAAAGTAAAGGAAAAAAAGGAAAAACCAAAAAA